CACTCTCCTCTCTGTCTCTTTAGCTTACACATACTCACTCATCCTCTCTGCCTACCCTGTGCATACACCCCATCTCAGGCTTATGTTCTCTCCTGCATGGTCCCTTGTGTTTTGTACGGCATGCTGTCTCCCACAGGTTTTCTTGTGTTCTCTTCTGCATGCCCTCTCTCATGCATGCACCCCCCTCCACTGCAGCGCCTTTCATGCTCTTTCAATTTTGTACTATCTTCTGTACACCCTCTCAATCCTCTAATGCTAGCCTTTTGTTTGCACCTCTATAGTTATTCTTGCGGTATTCTGTCTGACCTTATTATTTATTTCCTAGATTACCTGGTCAAGTGACCATTTTCTCATCTCCGGGTGCTTGATTAGAACAATCTAGTTCTTTAAGGGACCATAATCACTGCAAGATATATGCTTCCCCCTTTCCCACTATTACATTGGTCATCACAGTATGTACATATGTACAGTGCTACACAGCTGACTTACTATAGAAAGTCAACTGATAATTGATGAACTCCGTATCAGTCTACTGAGATTCTTTTGCAATGGTCTTAGGGAGAGAGTTTTAGGATTTTGATCCAGTTCTTTTGGATCATGCATTTGGACATGGATTGCTTCAATAGATAAGGAGTCATGAAAGGTGCGGAACATTGTGCAGTTATCTCCACTTCTCATTTTATGATGGTGGGAAGGTAATTGATGAAGCATCTGAAGTTGGGCCTAGGACACTACCCTGAGGAACTGATCAGGGTGCTTGTGGCACAGTGATAGTGTCCCTACTCTGAGCCAAAAGGTCAGGTTCAAGTCCGATATGCTCCAGAGGTGTTTTGTAACATCTCTCAAGAGGTTGATTTAAAAACTCTATCCTGAGGAACTGCTGCAGAGGCGTCCAGGACCTGAGATGACCAACCTCTTAACATCTACAATCATCTTCCTTTATCCAGCTGAGTGGCTTCCCCTGATTCCCATTGACATAATTTTCTCTCGGACTTTTTGATGCCACATTTTGTCAAACATGACCTTGATGTCAAGGGTGGTCAAACTTGCTTCACCTCAGAAATTTGTTGCTTTTGTCTGTGTTCAAACCAAGATTGTAATAAGGTGATGAACAGTGTGGCCCTGATGGAACACACTCTGAATGTCAGTCAGCAGGTTATTTCTAAGTAAATGATATTAGATAGCACTGTTGATGACACCTTCCATCATTTTACTGACGATTGAGGTGGCAATTGGTTGGGTCAATACAAAGGCAATGCTGCTATGTTGTCACCTCCCCCAAAGGTAGTAGAGTTGGATTTCTGCTAATAATAAATTACAAGATGTGGAGGTGCCAGTGTTGGTCTGGGTTGAATAATGTCTGAAGTCACATGATACCAGGTTATAGTCCAACTCGTTTACTTGAAATCACAAGCTTTCAAAGTGCTGCTCCTTCAACAGGTGAAGTTAGGCTTCACCTGATGAAGGACCTTGTGATTTCAAATAAACCGGATGGACTATAACTGGTGTCATATGACTCCTGAATAAATTACGAAACCTTTCACTGTACAAACTCTTGTACAAATTATGTGAGACAATTTTTATATTTGATCTTGGCTGATTTTTAAATCTCATATATGATTAACTGTTTCATTTTAGGTGGTCAGTTAGCTGAGTTAGTTGGATGCTAGTGTGTATTGCAAAATGACACAAATGGTCTAGGGTCTGTTACTGCGTGAGGTTGTCATGATAGCCCTGATTTCTTAACATTGCCCTTAACTTGAGGTGTGGTAACCCTTAGGTTAAATTTCTCACCAGTCATCTCTCTCTAATGAAAGAACAGCCTCCTGGTTGAACAACAGTTCTTCTTTAGCTGTCACTGCAAGGAACAGTTTAAGTGATCATTGTTATTTTTGTGGGTGAATGACTACATTATAAATAAATTTGTGAAAATACTTCAAGGTATTCTTTAGAGGTATTCTTACCTGAGCTCAAAACTTAATTTCATAAATTTGTTTACAACTTGCTGATAATCTGTTCTGTAAACTTTGCCTTGGATATCTCTCCTTTTGGGACTCTTATATTCCTTTTCTGATGTTTTATTCTTCTTGCTGGGCTGTCGCTCCCAATTTATTTTGACTTCTTTGAATGTATGTGTATGATTGATCTCCCTATATGTTCCAATCTTGCTCCTAATTCTCTATTTCTGCTTCTACCTTTGCTTTGAAGTCTTTGTTCTTTCTGCTAATGTCAGTTCATTAGATTGCCCTTTTAGTGTGTAATCCAATTTCATCCTTCCACTGATTGTTAACTCCAACTGTGTTTGTTTCTCTATTTCCATATTAGCTATATTTAACCCATTTTAAAATAGCTCTTACTGTGGGCCAGACCTTCAAGCTCAGAATGAAAAAAGACAATTTGAATGGAAGTACCAAAAAAACCCACTAGAAGTAAATTTAAAAAAAAAACAAAGTTGCAGACCAAAAAATGATGACTTTAATAGGTAGAAAACCTCAATAGTAAAGAAAGAAAAGCGTTAAAGGAGACAGGGACCTTTTTTAGAAGGAGAGCAAGAAACTGCTAAATGAATATGAAATGTTTATGTAATTTAAGTTTTGTAAATTGTCCAAATTTTCCGACTTTTTCAGTGAACAATGAATGCAGTTAGAGGTTTGTTACTTTAAATAACTGTACCTAAATGCATATTAATATTTTACTCTGCATTTGGATACGTTTTCTCTGCTCTTCTGATTTGCAACTTCTATTCTGCATGCATGATTCTATAGTTATGACTCTCTTCATGTTTTGGCCTCAGTCCCTCTTTAACACGTTAGTATCTCCTGTGTGTAAAAATGTAAACACTGACATTTATAGAATGCCTTTCATGAGAATTGGATGTCTCAAAGTACTTTACAACTAATAAAGTACTTTTGCAGTGTAGTCATTGTAGTAATGTGGAAATGTGTCAGCTAATTTGCACACAGCAAATTCCTACAAATAGCCTTGTGATAATGACCAGATAATCTGTTTTTGTGATTTTGACTGAGCGATAAATATTGGCCAGGACCCTGGAGATAACAATCCTGACCTCTCTTGAAGTATTGCCATCAGATCTTTTACACAAACCCAAGCAAGCAGATGGGGCCTTGGTTTAATGTCTAATCTAAAAGACAGTACCATTGATGGCAGAGCACTCTTTCGTCACTACACCAAAGTGTTATTATTGCAGTGCATGCCATCTGTTATGTTATTCATGTTACTCTTCTCTGATGCTTGCCAGAGATGACCATGATAAAGAAAGTGTCTCGTTCTTTGCTGTACATATAATCACAGTTTTTGGGATATTTAATTGAAAACATAAAGCAGCTACATAAATTGAAATGACATGCTTATGTTTATAGGCAAGCTCTGGAGTGGGTCTTCATGACTCAAGCAAGAACCACCAACTAAACCACCACTGACAATGTTTTGTATCAACCATAAATATATGAATTTGATCAAAAATGCATATTTTATATTTGAAACGATCATCATTGATAACCACATCATGCTTTTTACTGTCCCTTTTTCTCAACCCTGATAGGGCAACACAGGCAGGTGCAAAAAAGGTTGATAGAGGGTTCTAGAGAGGATGTGTGCTCTGATGTGGCATGTAATTCACTGGATTGAAATATTTTAATTTTCTCCATGGAAAACTTATTTAAAATGACTATTAATGTCATCTGTCAACTTTCTGCTATGCAGTCCCAATTTACTACAAGACACCCAAATTTACTACATCCCAGTTCTTGGTTGTTTTCTTCCTTCCTGTCATGGTCATTAACCCTGTTTACTCCCATTCACTTTGTCTCGGTTGAGCCTTGACTTACATCCCATCTTCGGCTTCATGCCGTGTGCTCCTCACCAAGAGCTCATAGTTTCTCCCAGCTCATTTTCCCTTCTATCACGTATAGATATCAATCCTCCTTGTTCCTAGCAAATCTGAACTCTTTTTGGGCCCACAGTTGTATTTCTTGCTCGTCTCATAGTGGATTCTGACTTGTCAGTGCTGCTTAGGGCAGAGGTTCCAGATCTATTGCTCCTGCTTTAAAGTAGATAAAACAAAAATTAAGTCAATAAGTAAAGGAATGTGAAAGAAAACTGAAGGGAAGATAAACTTTGAATGAGCATGAGTCTGGGAGGCAGAAGGGAAGGAGAGGCAGACTGAAAAACAAATTTTATGAAAAGCGCAGTTGAGAATTGGAACAAATACAGCACTGGAAACAGTTATTAAATAGGAAAGAACTTTTTAACAATTTGTCCATGAAAATATTATGAGGCCAGCTAGAACATGTTGCTCTTTTAAAAATGTTATAATTGTGACAGCAAAGCTATAATTCTCTTTCAGCATTTTATGTGGAGTATGGTGATAATGGAGCATGATTGGGTGTTATAGAATGGGGATTTATAGTCATTAAGGAGTTCTTTTTAAAAAATGTTGAAGGACTGAGTTGGTAAGCAAGCTCTGTTCTTCACATATAAATTCAAAATAACCTATACTGATAGAATGAACTTCAATGCATGTTCATCCACAGCCAACTATGGACAGGTTTCATGGTTGCTAATATTAATAGCCACTGAACATGGGGGCAAGATAGTAACTTCATCTTTGCTGCACAAAAATACTAAAAACTATACCAGACAACAAAGTCATTGTTAAAAGTTGAATTTATTTTGCATTTTTAGAGGAAACAATATAGATTGTAAGGATATACATTTATATAAAAAGAACTGTATCAATAATTTTTGAATGCTCTAACTGTTCCACTTGTGAAGAATAGCTGCGTAACTAACTTGTGTATATTTGGAAGAAACATTGCATTAAACAGTTTGTAGCAAACTATTTGTTACATTTCTAAAGTCAAGTTCTAATAGATGTGATTTTTTATCTTATACTATTATGTAATATTGACTACAATGTTTTAGTATTGTGAAATATTTTAACTGTGTAGGAAAATATAAACCAATGTATTATCTTTCAGAGTACCTTTAAGTTTAAATCGGAGAGTGACATCCACCTTGCGGAACACCATAAACAAGTTTTATATGATGGGAAGCTGGCTAGTAACATTGCCTTTACATATAATGCCAAAGCTACTGATGCACAGCTTTGCCTTGAGTCATCGCCAAAGGAAAACCCCTCAATTTTTGTACATTCTCCACATGCACTAATGCTGCAGGTTAGCATTAAAATCTTATGCTTATGTGATTTCCACAAACAGAAGTTGCTGAAGAAACTCAGCAGGTCTGGTAGCATCTATAGAGAGAAAAACAGTTAACTTTTAGATTCCAATAATTCTCTTCTTCAGAACACAAACCTACTGGGTTTCTCCACTTCGTTTTTATTTCAGCTCTTCAGCATTTGCAGTACTTTGCTTTTATTTGATTTCTACAGATCTCTGATTTACAAGTTAATTATTATGAATTTGACTGTGATGAGTTCTGTAATGAAATTTTCAAAATCATGTAACAAAAAGTTTGCTTTCCTTACTATGATTTTATAACTGAATATAATACATTATGGAATGTTGCTGGTTTTCTTCTCAGGAAATATGTAAATATAGCTACATTGGGGAATTTCCTGTTGTCAAAATCAACTGATGCTTCTTTTCCAGTTTATTGGGCTGTGAGAATTATTTTGTGCTTAGTTATAACTTAGCAGTAGCTGATTACAATCAGGCACATTGAAGCCAGAACATTTGTTTTCAGGAAAGTAATGCTTGGATTCATTTCTATTGATCTTTCTTTTGAGGTCCAACATCTCTTGAGCTTATAGAGTGTCTGTTAATCACAACACAGTATCGCTTATGAGCTGACCACCTGCAAAATACTTGAGAGTGGCCTAATTTTCATCTTGCCAATATGCTTTGCAGAGGATGGAAGCACTGCCAGACACCCAGTATTTCCCTTCCATCCTCCCATTTGTACAAGTCAAGGTGATCAAAAGTTGATGTGGTCTGAAATAGCATGAATTTTTGTGTTTAGTATTTTCATTAACAATGGCCCATCATTTGTCAAATACGCATTTGAAATTTACTGCTGTTGCCGGACTTCGCACACTGCACCCAGACCTGCCACTCTGTGTACTGTTAATTTTCTGTCAAGAAATTACTTAAGTTTTCAGTGTCTTCCCAATGTCATAGAAATATACAGCATGGAAACAGGCCCTTCGGCCCGACTTGTCCATGCTGACCAGGTTTCCTAAGTTGAGCTTGTCCCTTCTGCCTTTGTTTGGCCCATATCCCTCTAAACCTTCCCTATCCATGTACCTGTCCAAATGTCTTAAATGTTGTAATTGTACCCGTCTCTGCCTCTGGCAGCTCATTTTGTACACATACTACCCTCTATGTGGAAACGTTGTTCCCTCTGATCCCTTTTAAATCTTTCCCCTCTCACCTTTAAACCTATGCTCTCTAGTTTTGGGCTCCCCTACCCTGGGGAAAAAACTTGGCTATTCACCTTATCTAAGCCTCTCATGATTTTATAAATGTCTGTAAGGTCACCCTTCAGCCTCCTATGCTCAGGGGGAAAAAGTCCATGGTATTCAGGTTCTCCTTATAACTCAAACCTTCCCAGTGTTGCTAATATCCTTGTAAATCTTTTTTGCACACTTTCCAGTTTAATAACATCCCTTCTATAGCAAGGTGACCAGAATTGTAGGGAGTACTCCAAATGCGGCCTTACCAATGTCTTGTACAGTGAAACATGATGTTTCAACTCCTATACTCAATACTCTGATCGATGAAGGCAAGCTTGCCAAACCCCTTCTTCACCAACCTGTCTACCTGTGATAACAAGGTGTAGACCTGGATGAACACAGCAGGCCAAGCAGATCAGAGGAGCAGGAAGGCTGACGTTTCGGGCCTAGACCACCTGTGATTACACTTTCAAGGCATTATGTACCTGCACCCCCTCAGTCTCTCTGCTCGACAATGCTCCCCAGAGCACTACCATTATCTCAATAAGAAACAAAAACAGAAATTGCTGGATTAGCTCAACAGGTCTGGCAGCATCTGTGGAGAGAAATCAGATCAACATTTCAGTTCCAGTGACCCTTCCTCAGAACCCTGGACCCGAAACATTAACTCTAATATTTCTCTACAGATGCTGCCAGACCTGCTGAGCTCTTCCAGCAATTTATGCTTTTGTTTCTGATTTCCAGCATCCACGGTTCTTTCGGTTTTTATTAACTGTGTACCAAAATGCAACACCTCGCATTTATCTGAATTAGACTGAATTAAGGTCATAGGGATTTACCTACCTCTAAAACCTTAGATTTATCTACCTTTACGCATTTTAAGACATCCAGCACCTCCTCTTCTGTGATGTGGACTGTTTTCAAGACGTTCACTATTTATTTCCCCCAATTCCTTGGCTTCCATGTCTTTCTCCACAGTAAATACTGTTACAAAACATTTGATTAGTATCTTGTGTGATTCCACGCATAGAGGGCCACGTTAATCTTTAAGGGGCCCTATTCTCGCTAGTTATTCTTTTGCCCTGTACATACTTTCGCAATCTCTTTGGATTCTCCTTCACCTTACCTTGTCAAAGCTATCACACATCCCCTTATGCTCTCCTGAGTTCCCTCTTAAGTGTACTCCTGCACCCCCTGTACTCCTCAAGGGATTCACTTGGTCCCAGCTGCCTATACTTGACACATGCCTCCTTTGTTTGCTTGACCAGATCCTCATTGTCTCTAGTCTCTAGAAATATCTGTAGAAATATTAGAGTTAACATTTCGGGTCCAGGATTCTGAGGAAGGATCACTGGAACTGAAATGTTGATTCTGATTTCTGTCCACAGATGCTGCCAGACCAGTTGAGCTAATCCAGCAATTTCTGTTTTTGTTATCCAGTGTTTCCTACTCCTTCAAGCCTTGTCCTTCACACTGACAGGAACATGCTGGCCCTGAACCTCGTTATCTTGCTTTTGAAAGCCACCCACTTGCCAAACATCCCTTTACCTGTGAACTGCCACCCCCAATCAACTTTAGAAATTCCTGTATAATACCATCAAAATTGGCCTTGCTCCAGTTTAGAACATTAACTAGTGGACCAACCCCGTCCTGTTCCATAACTATTTTAAAACTGATAGAATTATGATCATTGGTGCCAAAGTGATCCTTCACTGACACGTCAGTCACTTGCCCTGCCTTATCCCTGCCTTATTAGTTTTGCCCCTTCTCTAGTAGGGTCATCTGCGTATCAATTGGGAAATTCTTCCTGAATGCACTTAACAAATTCCTCCCCATATAAGCCCTTATCACAAGGCAGTCCCAGTCTATGTTTGGTAAGTTAAAATTGCCTACAATTACCACCCTACTATTCTTACAACTATTTGTGATCTCCGTACATATTTGCTCTTCAAATTCCTGCTGACTATTGGAGGGCCTCCCTATAGTACAATTCCATCAAAGTGATCACCTCCTTCTTATTTCTCAGTTCCACTCATATAGCTTCATTGGATGATCCCTCAGGATTATCTGGTCTAAGTACTGCCATGTAGTGATATCCTTGCTCCCTTCAGATCTCTTAAGGAGTGAATCCAGGGCCAAGTGTGTGTACTTTCTGGCAGAATTTTCTGATGGGCACCTCTTTGGTAAATTTGCAGGGGCATAAGGTGATGCACCCCATTTGTGCCTTCACATCTCATTTGCATTGCATGTATGTATCCTTCTCCCTATTGAAGAAGAACCATAGGGAAGTAATGTATTCCGGATGGATTTTGTGTGACTAGATTTGAATTTGTTTGAGGACATACCATGGAGGATTGATGAGAGCAGTGCATTTGATATAATGTAATAACTCTTAGCAAGACTTTAGCTTAGGTTCCATAAATAAGACTGGCCACATAAGTAAAAGCCCATGGGATCCATGTCAAGGAGGCAAGTTAGATCCAAAACTGGCTTCAAGGCAGGAATAAAGGATAATCATTGATGGTTGTATTTTGTGACTGCAAGGCTGTTTCAGATGGGTTACGCACAGCTTAGTACTAGGCTCCTTGCTTTTTCTGGTATATATTAACCACTGGGATTTGAATGTAGGGGTTATGATTATCAAGTCATGATTATAAAGAAAGATTGGACAGGCTAGCTTGTTTTCTTTCGAACAGAAGTAGCTGAGTTGAGTCCTAGTTCAAGTTTTGAAAATTATGCAGTGGGTAGATAGCATGGTGGCAATGCTGAAAACAACAACCCACGATAGTGCTTGATAACCATTGTATATGCGATACTTGTGGCAAATTTTGCCTCTTATGTATTGGTTTTTTAGACTATTAGCCAAAAGTTTACTATCTATAACTACCCTATCTCCAATGGATTTCATTTGCTGTGTAATTTTATGCAGATGGAAGGATGCTGATGATGATACAGGACTAGTTAGAGTATATAGGAAAGTCCTATTCTGCTTAGTTAAGGGTTGGGATTCATAAGCAGCAAGTATTTTAATGTAATAATTAGGTTTACAGGGGAAAGCTTTTTTGCCAGGGGATGGATGGATCTGAAGCTCACTGCCTAAAAGGATGGTAAATGCATGAATCCCTCCGAACATGTAACATGTGTTTGGACACACATGTTGTGCTGTAATTAATAAGGTTATGACCCAAAAGCTGGAATATTGGAGCAGGCTGGCCATGTGCACATGATGAGCTGAATGGCCTTATTTCATGTTATAAATGTGTATGATTTCTTTGATTTGTTCCTCCCAAAAGTTCAGTGACATGATTCAAATTTGTGTGCCATCACAATGTTGTGATAATTTTGCCCAAGTAAGCTATAATGTTTTAATATTTGATCATCTCAGAGATGAGATGTAGGATTCCTTGTTTTAGAATAAATAATTTTTTTTGTTGTGTTCTGCTTTGCTTTAGGATGTAAAAGCTATTGTGACTCACTCGATTCACAGTGCAATCCACTCTGTTGGTGGCATTCAGGTTCTTTTCCCACTTTTTGCACAGCTGGACTGCCATCAGCCAAATGACAATCAGCTAGAGACAACAGTTTGGTAAGTATTAGACGAAAATTGTGATTGTATGAAGTTTCAGTGGTTAAAATGGAAGTTCTGGGAAAATGTCTTAATGTCATGCTTCCTTCAACGAAGTAACATACTGTTTTGATATGAATAGATTAAATGACATAGTACTTGGGGCTTTAACTGTATTAAATATTTCTTCATCTTAGTCTTTTAGGGAAGTGACAGGAAATTCAGAAATACACATCAGCAACATGTCTATACTGCCTTTAAACAATGTAAGATTTCTAAGGTTGCTCACAGGAGTGGTGTAAAACTAAATTTGACATGGAGCCGCTTCAGCAAATAATAAGGCAGATAATTAAAAGCTAGATTAAAGCAGGTAGGTTTTAAAGGGAACAGAGAGACCATGAATTTTAGAGAAGAATTCCAGAACTTAGGGCCTTGGGAGCTGAGAGCATTGTCACCAGTGGTACAGTGATTAAACTTTGACATGAGCCAGAAGCCAAAGTTGAAGCACGGATATCTGAAGGGATTGTTGGACTTGAAGAGATTACAGAGATAGGAAAAAACATGGTTATAGAATGAAATGGAAATAATTGAAATTTTAAAATTGATGCATTGCTTAACTGGGAGCTAATAGAGATCGGCAGACAAGTGTGATGGCTGTATGGGACTTTGTGCAAATTTGGAATTAATTCACGGGTTTTGATGATGTCAAGTCTACAGAGGGGAACAAAAGCACAATTGGACAGGAAAGCATTGGAATTGTTACGTACAAGAGGCAACAAATTCTGGTGAGCCAAGGAGCTGAGGCAGTGGTGCGATCACATCTTAAATAACTTAAAATTAGATTTTGTGTGCCAGACATACACTGTAGAGAATATTACACTAATTAAGGGTTGAATCAGTTGTTCGGTGCTTTTTGTCGCCTTTATGTATTGGATTTTTTTTTGTTTGGATTGCCTCACAAAATTCCTTAGCCAAGAATGTGTCCACAAAATGGAGTGCAACTTTGACCCATAGACCACAGTTGACTCCATGTTTTATGCTGGCTTATTTCTTGGGAAATACAAAAATAATTCCAAAGTCACAGGTCCCTACACATCCTCCCACTTCAAGTATTTATACAGTTGTTTTTCCTTTCGCCACTCTCTGTAATACATATTCATGATGTAGCTAAACTAACATTTTGTATCATTGGCCACTAGTTTTGACCACAAGTTCACATTTTTTATAAACCTTCAGTGTAACATAACACCTTTGCATATCTCTTTGGCTTTTTGCCGGAAGATGCACAAAATATGGTGACTATGTCTCGTTAATCAAGTGATTAATTAAGGTTGGAAGCTGGGAGAGAAATGGAGCTATGTTTCTCTAGTTTATTTTAGGTACCATGCAGCCTTTTAATGCCAGTGTTCAGAATATCTCCTTATGTCTACTGAAGGACATGAAATGGGTATAGAAGGTAATGTAAGTGTACATACACTAGATGAACAACAGTATTTCAAGGAGTTGGCTCACCATCATTTTCTCCAGAATAAGTCGGGAATGAGCAACAGATGCTGACTTTCCCAACGAAGCTATCGTCCATGAAGGAATACAAGAAAATCATGATCCATTTAAGAATGAATGACTTGTGTAGAACGGACTTGAGGAACTGGCATCTATACCAATGAGCAGTACTGCATGAGTGATACTCATTGGGTTACTAAGCCAAATTGGCATAAAGTCAAGCAAATTAGTGAATTAATTTAGTGACAGAATTTTGTTTTAAATGTAGAAGGCTTGTTAAACAAACTAATGACATGAAAGTAATTGTGATTGACCATTCCAGATTAATTGTTAAGTGAACAATAATTACAAAATGAATGTTGCAGGACTTACAACATTTGAAAAAGACATAACAAAATGGACAAGGAGGAGGAGTGGCCTTGGTGTAACACTGCTACTGGAGAAACTACAGGCCATCTAACTTGATATTAGTTATCATACGGTTTAGAATAACATCAACAGTGTGGGTTTGATTCCCGTTCCCTCTGAGGTATTTTTAAGAACCTGCCTCCTAGCCCTGTTCCTGTAGTGTTGGCAAACCATTAATGTTTTAAAAACTGAGAAGCATACTGAGCCATGAGAAAGCTGAAGCATAAGCATGTAATGAACCAAGGGCTTCCTTCAGTCAGAACACACGTGAATGAATAAATGAATGAGTTGTGAAGTAGTTGCTAAAACTCATAACATGATCGAACAAGTCAGCATGGTTATTTGAAAGGGACATTGTTTTTGCTTATGTAGGGTAGGTAAAGAGGAACCAATAAATGTAGGACTGAATCTTAGATTTTTTTTTGTCAGGTGTCAATTTTGTAGTTTCATTGAGGATTTCTCACCAAGGCCTAGTGCAATCTTTCACTGCATCTTACCAAATTCACCTCACTAATTACCTAACTCACCCCTAAGGTACCCATCTTGCCCAATTCCAGCCCCATTCTACCACTCACTATTCATTGAAGTCACCACTCACTGGATATCTGCCGAAAGTCTAGTGTCCCTGATGCCCGTGCCAAACATAAAAGGTTGCTGTGCGACCGGAGGAGTAGCCTTAAACGACAGATGGGGAAAATGGCGCTGTAATTTTATGACACTGTCCTGGTCAATGGAATAGTCTGGAGGGAGGCAGTTCTCTTCATGGAAGACTGGCAGATGAGGTGATGCCACTGGATCCTGGCAGGCTATTTGGAGGTCATCAGCCTAGTCAGTGCTGTATCTGTGGTCTGGAGGAATGGCGAACAATGCTGCAAGAAGATCTCTTACCTTGTCCAATCTCAAGGTAAGTGCCACACTCTTCTTTCTGAAACGTCACATTCACCTCAGCTTTGCTACTGACCCACCTCCCACTAAGTCTTATGGTCTGCATGCACTATTACAATATCTGCCCTTTTTCATTCACGTTTTCTCCAAAATCCTCTACCCCAACTGGTCCATGACTGGCTGCCTACTCACTTGCCTGGGATAATTCATCACATATTGGTCACCTGCACCAGTGCTAACAGCTGTGCTACCCACTTACACCTCAACCAATCTCTCCCCTTCTCCTATTACAGGAGGAAACAGCCCATACCCAGGCAGAAGGAGATACAGTGGGTGGAGGGCTACCTGCTATTAGGCCCCTCATCCTCCATGTGAAGAGAATCCTTTCCTTCACAGGAGATGTCCATGATGCCGAAACATGCATGTCTTGCCAATTAAGTGTGTATCAATTTTGATTCCACTTCACCTCTCACATTGAATAACACTGAAGGTCAGATCATTGCACGCCACTTCTTACCATTGGATGTGTCACCTTCTTTCCTTTGAGTCTTGAAAATGCCAGTGGAATGACCACAATCCCAGCAAAGAAACAGACAGCTCCACCAGAAGCCTCCTCTTTGACCTCTGAGGAAGAGTTCCAAGGCCTCACAGGAAGCATAGCCAAGGCTGCCTCCTGCACTCCCCCACCAGCTCAGATATTGATGTTTTGGTGGGAACGTAATTTTTATAACATTTGGGAGCCTTAGCTGATGAGTCCGTCATTGCGACAGCTCTGCAACTGACCGAAGAAGAAAACTTCTAGTTGCTGGCACTGATAAAGCTGCTGGAGACCATCCACCTACCGAGCGCCAGTCAGGGGAGAACGCTGTCGTGTTGACAGTCAAGAATTTTCATTAGGATGCACAAAAGGGTAAAGGAACAACGGGCAGGTATGCTGGAGGCAATAGTCCTCATTGCCTAGAGAATGCAGTTCTACAGTTACACTATGGAGACCCAGCTGCCTCAAGTACGTGATTAACTAGCTACGTCCAAGGACAGTTTGGTGACTGACATGGAGATCCAGGTCCAGTACATTCAGGGTCTTCTCGATACATGCACACACCTGAACCCAATCACCCCAACCAATGGTCCTCATGATTGAATGTATGACATCAGGAGCAGGGAAACAAACATCTACTCAGATGCCCCTTCTACACAAGGAGATTGGACAGTGCCTAGAGGCCCCCAACTAGGGGAGGCTTGGTCTTCTACTTCCGTCCTGTCTGCCCTTATCTGATCTGTGGAAGTTAAATTCAGGAGCAGACCCTCCTGGGATCATCCCGCGAAACCTCCAAGGCCAACAGGCTCCAACACCTGTTCATTTGAATCTCTGTCTATCCCTGAATGTAACGGCTATCATGATGCCTAAACGTGTCCACACAGAGTGTACCATGGAGCGATATTTGTGCTGAGAACCTGCTGCATCATGTAGAAGCAAAATGAAATAGGCATATATAGGACAATGGGTTCAGCTGGCACCCTTTTGATCAACCATTGCTATTCTTTCTCTGGCTTCTGTGTGCAAAAGTGTTAGTCTTGAATGATATGGTCAACAATGTCTGGGGTACAGAGGAGTATTGCATTTGGAGACAATGTGGCGAGTCTTTTACCTGTGCATTACAGGGTTCTGTTTGTAATGTGTTGCCCTTTAAATGGCTTCACATTGGTGGATCTTGCAACCCCTCCCTCACAGATCAGGACACTTATCCTATGCATTCAGGATTTTATTGTGACCATTTTCTTTTCCATTGCACAATTTTTTATTTCTAGCACAATGAAAGGCAGCAACAAACATACTTTGAGCAGTGGTTTCTAGCCTCAGTCTTTACATAAGTTTCTGGTATATGATCCAATGTGCCTTGCATGAAGATATCCTAGCTCTTTGCTGAGGACTACTGACCAGCAAGACAAACTGCTCAGTTGAGTGCTTGTGTGAATAGACAAAGCAGGGGTGCTGTCAGCATCCAGGTAGATGCTAAATGAGTGAGCGCTAACAGAGCTAGCTAGCAGCCCTACTATACAGCTTGAGATGCAACCTGATCAAATTCATGAGCTGAGTCCCTGTCCCTGTGTGCAAAATGTCATTATAGTAGCATTTTGATGCCAGTTTCCAGTGTACCCTGAAATGCAAGTCTAAACTCAGAGTATTCTGCAAGTATATTGTGAAGGACATGAGGATCCTGAGG